GTGACTTCAGTCTCCTGTGGTGTCCTCCTACTCTCTTGGGCTCTCTTCCTGCCTGTCTTCCATGCCCTCACCAACTCCAGTTCTACTTCCCCTCAAGTGCTTGGCGTGAGTATCCCAAATGTCAGCTTATTCCTGCTAAAATGTTAGCCTGATGTTCAGATATTCTCATGGGGGGATATTTACATTTTAATAGGTGGCTTGAATATGGAAAAGCTTCAGGCTGAAGCAGGAAGTCTCCCTGGGTGAAGACAGTAGATTTTGGATGTGCCTGAGGGTGCCTGAGGTGTGAGACGTTTTCAGTTCCAACCACATATATTCCATGGAACTGGCCCTTCTTGCTCTTTTTGGTTCCCAAACTTCAGAGTGTATGGCACCTCACATACTCTTGTGGGGCAGAAAGGAAGCCTTTTATAGGCTGGTGGGGAAGAAAGCAACACTTCTTCCAAGTACTGGAACTCAGCCATTCCCAGGGAGCAGCGGCAGCGCTGGGGAAGCCAGCTGCACCTGCTCCTACACAGCTGGTCCCGCCTCTTGGTGGCTCCACTTTCCATACTTTGATATTAAGATGGGGAGAAAGCACTAAGCATTCCATAGAAACCTTGGCTCCGTACTCACTTGTGATGTGGGGCAGTGAGCCAGGGAGTCCCGGGAGGCAGGGGTCCTAGTCAGCGTTTTCAACTTACAATTTTTTCACCATATGATAGGTTTATCTGGACATAAGCCTGATGTCGTTTTTGGAGATGTCGTTTGGGTTCGGAGAGTGGGGTCCTTGTGTTCACTCTGGGAAAAGTTTCACCAGAGCTCCCCTTTTCACCAGCACCGGTGAGTTCCCAGGTGAGTTTCTCCATGACATAGAGACATTAGTTATATCCCCACCTCCAGCTCCTGGCATTGTGTGAGCCATGTTTCTGATCTTGTGGTGCCTCCTTTCCAGCTTTTCTAATCCTTATCCTCCGTCATGCCCATCATAAATAGAGGAAGATCTGTGTGAGGGAGGGGGTGGCTTAAGAGATCTTGTTCTTAAAGCACAGGGTGAAATCTTGCTTTGGAATTTGGGGTGAAGAGGCATTGATGTGGCCCCTTAGAAGAACTCAAAGACTGAGAGTGGTGTTTCTGTTCTGAGCCTGGGAGCAGCTGGGGGGGGGGGTCAGGGAAGAGAGGGTTGGGGTTGCTAGGGGTGCCATCAGCAGTGACTGTGCTGTTGTCTTGTCAGACTTAGCAAATCTGCATAAAGTGTCCAATAAGTTTGAATTTCCAATAAACGATGAATACTTTTTTTTAGTATGAATGTGTCCCACAGGTGTTTGTGACATAGTTATACATGAAATTATTATTTTGCATATATTGAATTCAAATTTAACCTTTTATACCATATTTTATCTGGCAGCCTACTATCCACTAGCCTTTGCAATTCCTTGTATATAGTTGTAAGGGGCAGGAAGACACTAAGCGGGTTTTCTGATCCAGCAGACAGGGTAAAGAAGGAGTCCTGGAGAGTCCTTGGTGGCTTTTGCAGGCTTTTATTGGGATTTACTGGGTACATGGCAGGTAGGGGTGCCGGGGGGCCGGCAGGCCTCCTAGCCCCCAGCAAGTCTTCACTCTTTCTGGGCTCTCCAGCCTTCTCTGGCGTTCTCTGGTGTTCTCTCTGCTTCTCTGCTCTCCTGCTTCTGCTGGCATCCCTGTGACGCCGTCCTTAAAAAGCCCAGTCTTAGCCCAGGTGAATCCATCTACCTATGCCCACACCCTACTCCAGGTGCCCGCCATCAGGCATGCATTCAGGACCGCAAGGATCCATCATCTATCCTGATGGCGGGAGGGCGGAAAAGCCTGATGCTTTTTACCTTACCCTATAATATTGTTAATAATTTCTAAAATAGATAAAATTATAACTTCTACAAATGTAAGAGGAACACATGTCAAAGATGTTTAAAAACTCATTGATTAATAAGAGAGCCAGTAAGATGTTATAACTGGTTCAAAGGAGAATTCAGAACACACGCCACACCCACACATACACATGTACCTGCAGACTGTCAGGAAATGCTGAAGTGAATTAGTTAATAGATGCTAAACTAGCCATATTCATTGGGCTATTATCAATTACACTTGTAGGGGCAGGAACACACAGAGCAGGTTTTCTAATCCATCAAACAGGGTAAAGGAGGAGAGAGTGCTGGAGCCCTCGGTGGCTTTTCAGGCTTTTATTGGGATATACCAGGTACACGGCTGGTAGGGGTGCTGGGGGGCCGGGAGGCTTGCAGGCCTCCCAGTCCCCAGCAAGTCTTCACTCTTCTCCGGTACTCGCTGGTGGTCTCTGCTTCTCTGCTCTCTCGGTTCTGCTTCTGCTCCTCCATTCGTTCTTCTGTTCATTCTTCTGGCATCCCCATGATGCCGCCCTTATAAGCCCAGTCTCTCAGCCCAGGTGAATCCCATCTACCTATGCCCACACCCTACTCCAGGTGCCCGCCATCAGGCATGCATTCAGGACCGCAAGGATCCATCATCAATCCTAATGGCGGGACGGCAGAAAAGCCCGATACTTTTTACCTTACCCTACAACAGTCTATTGGGAAAAATTAATTTGCATTTCCATGGACAAAAATCATCTGCAGTACTCAGTTTTCTACACTTGCAATAGTTGTAAAGTAGGTCAAAGATAATGAAAGGCACAGATAATTAGGAAGGGTGTGTTAGAACATCCACTAATCATTTTTGCCTAGTTCAAAATTATTCATAATTTCTCCTGACAGCATCACGCGCTCTCCTGTTTCAGGGCCTTTGCACTAAGGGGCACTGGCCCTTGAGTTGTCTTGTCCTTACTTACCCTTGATAACTCTCAAGCATCATTACCTCTGGGAATCCCTCTCTGACCCTTATTCTAGAGGATCCATGGCAGGCCTCTGCGTGGGACAGAGCACTAGGTGACTTGGCTTTTGCGTCTGGCCCTAAGAAAGACCCTGGCAATGAGGATAAGACAATAATAGCAATGTTGTATTCAGGAGCTATGCTTTAAATAATCCTTTTCCTTAATAGCTTTGCCCCTGGCGTGTGACAGGTGTTTACATTATTAAGTAAAGGCGTTTAAACAGCGACCTCCTTGGTATAAGGGTGAAGGAGATTAAAATCCAAGCAGTGCTCCAGCCATTTAAATCAATGAGACTTGTCAGATCTGTAACACATGAGCTACTTAGAGGGCGCAGGCACCTATTGTTTTTGAGCTTCGACTAATATCTCAAATGCTCGTTCCTTCAAAGTCTGGTCAGACGCTGGGATGCTCATTAAAGGCTGGTTTGGCCATGGCCTCTCTCCCTTTGGAACCAACATTATTTAATAGTTTGCTAAATGTGTACCAAGTAGTTATGCAATTAAGGGAAGAGCAGATCTGTGGTTGATTCCTGCTTATAGAAATGACCTTTCCAGAATCCTAACAGTCAAGTCCCTTAGCTAATCAGCAGGGACTTTGAATGCCAACCCTTTTCCACTAGGGGCTGCTAGCCCAGGCTGCTGGGCTTCACCCCGAGTCTTCCTTTCTTGAGTTGTGTCCTCCTGGTCATTAGCCACAATACCAGCAGCCTCACATCCACCACACTGTTGAGGAATCAAGTTTGTGAGACTTAAATTTCTTTATTTTTAAGCTATCACCATGCATTGGAAACTTCTAGATTCTCAATATTTGGCAATGGGGAAAAATCTCCATGCCAGAGAGCAGTTAGGATTTAAAGATCCAACTCTTATGCCTCAAGATTTATCTTCCCCATGGGGGTCTCTGGCTAATTTTTTCAGGCCAGCTAGATACAGGGGACACTGATTCACTTGTAATGCTTCGATTCTAAAGGGGGCATTAGATACTTCTTCAGAGCCTTGGGGTTCACAGCTGAGTCAGGCTGCCATAAAAGGAGTCATGTCAGCTAGACGTTACAAACTTCCTTCTAGTTTTGAAGCCCCAGCTGTGGAACTGCTGGTCTAGCAGAGAGTGAGGACCACCCTCCCTGGGTGGTCTGAGGACATTGTCCCAGGCAATTTACTTTGAGGATGTTCTTTACCTCAGAGGAATGGCCTCCTTCTATTCATAGGGGTGAGGTGAGGCTGTGGTCCCTGGTTTCTACAGAGCTTGGTCAAAATTTGACATCAAGAGCTTCATGCTGGAAAAGGATATGTGTACTAATACCTGGCCACTCACAATATCGGGACTGGCAGCAAGGGCATGGCGTAGGTCCTGAAAGCCTGTTAGAAATGTAGCATCCTGGGCCTCCATGGTGGTGCGGGGCAGCGGGTTAAGACGTGGCCTATGAGGCTATCCACAGCCACTGCAGCACAAATTCGATCCCCGGGCAGGGAGCTACTCAGGTGGTGTAGCAGACCTCTCCTGGCTCTCCCGCTGCTCCCCTCAGCAGTGTATTTCAGTCAGTCTGCCTGTTCTGTTCCCCACTCTATCTCTGGTGAATCCTCTCACCCCCACACTTCTGTCTTGTACCCCAGTTCTTGTGTGCATAAATAAATCTTAAAAAAAAAAAGAAATGTGGCATCTCAGGCCCCCAGACCTGCTGAAACAGAACCTGCATTGTAACACGCCCCCTGGGTTTCAGTGGGGTGCACACTGAAGCTCGAGGAACACAGATACAGCACTCACTGGCCATTTCTCCCACCTCTCTCTGCCACACTCTGCTCAAGATTGGCTCAGGGGAGACAGTCCTGTGACATTCCTGTCCCTTGCAACTAAGGAGTCACCTTGACCCTGTGCGGATTTTCTGGATCATGGCCGAGTGACTGGTGGTGGTGGGACTCTTGAATTTCTGAGACTGTTTAAGGGAAGAAGGAATGTTAAGGAGCTCCTCCTTGGAGAAAGGGGATTATAGAACCATGTCTTGGGCTGTGCAATGGCACAAGTGAGTTTGCTTCCTTCCACGGTTGCTGTCAGTACTCCTGATGTCATCCTACTGCTGTGTGCAGGTCTTCAGGGGGCCTGAGGCAAAATCAGCCCCTGGCAGCAGCTTTCTAGACTAATCCTGCTCAAAGTACATGGGAGTCTCCCAGACAATGCGACACTCATTCAGGTCAATCAATTCTGCAAACAGTCCATTCAATAAAAGCAATGTCTTGTGGGTGTTCAGCTGCTTAGTTTAGTTTCCACAGCAAGTTGGAAGTCACCTGTAAATGCAGGTATTGAAGGAAATCAAGTATTCACAGAGGCAGTAGAAGCCCAGTGTCCCCCAGTTGCTACCTCTGTGACTGGTGGCAAGTGTTTACCCTCCTGTAGGGGCAGAAACTGGACACTGAGCAGGTTTTCTAGGATCCCATGCAGACGGGGTAAAGGAGGAGTCAGAGTCCTCAGTGGTTTTTTGCAGGTCTTTTATTGGGATTTACCTGGTACACAGCAGGCAAGGGTGCTGGGGGGCTGGCGGGCTGACAGGCCTCCCAGCCCCCAGCAGGTCTTCACTCTATGGGCTCTCCGGCCTTCTCTCGGCTTCTGCTTCTCTTGGGCTTCTTTCTCAGCTTCTGCTGGCGTCCCCATGATGCCGCCCTTAAAAAGCACAGTCTTAGCCCAGGTGAATCCGATCTACATCTGCCCACACCCTACTCCAGGTGCCCGCCATCAGGCATGCATTCAGGACCGCAAGGATCCATCATCTATCCTGATGGCGGGAGGGCAGAAAAGCCTGACCTTTTCTTTACCCTACACCTCCCCAGTCTCTAGTTTCTCCATTTTAAAATTGGTTCTCAGAATGGTACTCTACTTATGGGTGTGTTATAAGTACCAAACCTAGTATTCACCCTGTAATACTCAGATTTGAAGTCATCTTGATAGGAGGTAAGACTTCTGTTTCAGGAGTGGAAGGAATCTTGAAGTCACCTTATGGAAAGGGAATGAGAAAGGTAAAACCACAAAGATGAAAATAGTTGCTGTTTTCATTTTGCCAGAGTTGCATGGATTCCAATTCTCAGACTGTCCTTTGTTGTTATAGTTCAGAGCAAGTGTAACTTCTCAGGGATGAAATATTAACAGGGAGAAGGACTGTGCCTGCCACAGGTCAGTGGGAGGTTACAAAACTAGTTAACGTGGAAGATAGAAGCATGTAGCTATTGTGGCAAAATACCAAAAGATCTGAAGCATCACTGGTATTGGAAAAGAATATGATGGTTGATTTGAAACCAGGACCCTGGGGTCACCTGCGCCAGAGTTGCTGCCTATGGGCAGCCCCTCCCCTGGTGTTGGGCCCCTGAGGCTGCTTGTGAGCAGTGCAAGCAGCAGTGGGTGGGGTGCATTTTACCACCTGCCACCAGTGGGCCCCATGGGGCTCAGGCTGCAGGCAGAGGCTGCAGTGCTGGGGGTGGGGGGCACAGTGTTTCCCCTAGCGCATTGCCCAAGGGCATGCAGCCCCTGATTAGTGATGTAGGGAGGAGAATGGGGCCCCACAGCTCCCTCCAGCTGCAGGCAGTAGAGAGGCCCTTGGATTTGGTGCCTGGATCATGGAATGGAGCTATCAAGTGTGGGCTATTAACTGGTGGGTGCTAAGTGGTCCAATCAGCCTTAGTATTAAAAACTGTCCAATCAGACTTGTAGGTGGGGGCCCTGAAAGAGGATAAGGCAGGTCAGGAGCCAGCTTGAGAAGGATGCTCACTGGGAGAATCTGTTCCTGGCTTCCAAAGAAAGAAGCAACTAGTAGCTGACCTCTGAAGAAAGAAGCCGAAAAGCTTCTCAGAGGCAGGCTGGCTGTATCTGCCCTCCGGCCTGCCTCTGACACCACCTGTACCGAGCATCAGGCCTCAGGCCTGGTGTCTCAAAGAGCTGTTTGTTGTTGGTGTGGGCTAACAACTTTCCAAGAGCTGTACTGGCCAGTGCTGTCTGGCATTGTTGACAGGTGATCAGCACTCCGTGTCTAGGTCACCTCTGAGAGCTGTTAACACAGTGTTTCCGATCATCTGGCTTCACATCCTGGTGCTGCCTCTGTTGCTGTCCGGCCCAGCGTCCGGTGCTGTCCATCCCGACCTTCAGACTGTGGCTGTGGGCTGTTGCAGTGTCATCAGGGACCCTGCCTGTGAGTGCCTCCAGCTACAGTGAGTTGGACTGTCCTTTGCACTGCTCTAGCCCTGTTGTAACCCTCTGAGCATTCTATTTCAGGTTCTTGATGGGCAGGAGGAGGTTGCTGGGAAAGAGAAACACACAGCTAAGTGCCGCCTGTATTATAAACACCAGGTGCTGTTGTTGATAAGTGGTGCATTTAAAAGTGCTCATGTGCCCCCATGGGCTGCACTTTACCCCCTCCCCCCGCCCCTTTTCTGTTTGACCTTCCCATCCCATCTGCCTGGTAGGAGGATGCTAGAGGGCCGGAGGGGGCAGAAAGGATTTTTAAAATTTTTTATTTGTGTGTCGAACTGGGTTGTAGGTCAGAGATGCAGGGGGTGAGAGGATTCACCAGAGGCAGAGTGGGGAGTGGATCTACTGAAATACACTGCTGAGGGGAGCAGCGGCCGAGTCAGGAGAGGTCTGCTGTGCCATATGTGGGTCAGCTCTCTGGCTGGGGATGGAACTCCGGCCTTAGTGGTGAGCATGCTGAGACTTAACCTGCAGGCCACCAGGGAGGCCTGGCAGAAAGGAATTTTGAGAGGCACCACCAAGCTTGCAAAGGACATGTACTTTCTAAGGAATGTTCATTCTTGCAGCTCAATTCCTGGGGCTTCAGTAGCTCACAGCTTTCCATTGACAAATGGCTTTAGGTGAGGAGATCTTGTGGCCTTGCAGATACTGCACACACACTTGAATTTTTTACTCTGGAAGCGAACCGCTGCAAGACGAAGTTAAAAAAATCTCGCTCTCTTTTCTCTCTGGGAGAAGATAAAGACACAGAGAACGGGTGCTAATTGGCAGTCATCTGGGCGCCTTCAGATGATCTGTTTTCCTTCTGCGTGGAGCTCCCGCTTTGGGTTTGCTGTTCCTTTGATCTTTTCTCTGTGTTCAGGTACCCCTTTGTGCCTATCTGAATCATGTGTAACAAATCATCTTAATTACTTCAGGTCTGGCTTCCTCCTTCAGTTCTCGTTTTCTGAAATCCCTGCAATGGTTACCAAATAAATTTGTGTGGCTCTAGCCCTTGAAACAGCACGCGGGTGTCAGCTGTAGCGAAAGGAATTTCAAAGTTAGTTAAAAGGCACAGGAGGAGTGAGGGAATTGAAGGAGACCCCCCATGGTTTTCAGCCTGGAGATGTAAAGCTGACTGTACTCCAAGTCCACGTTCATTGCAGGGCAGAGCCCGTATACCTTTGCCTGTAGAAGAGAGAATAATTAATGCTGTGTCTCCTTGGCTTGGTATCCAGAGCCTGGCTTGCACCAGTGGTGCCCCAAATTTTGTAGAAACACAGCCTCTTAGAAAGCCCAGGCGGGCCCAGAAAAGGGATGGAGGTGATGGTCTGCTTTCATCCACTGGGGCTCCTGGCGTAGCCAGAAGGCGGTCCCAAAGCAAGGCAGAGGGTTCAGGAAGTGGGCCAACTCCGGGGACCTGTTGCTGAGTTAGGGCCAGGTTTTGTGGGGCTGCATTTTAAGCGGGCCATTCTGAGTGAGGGAGCTCTGGCAGCAAGGTGCTGAGGCAGGCCAGGCTGTGCTCCTGTACGCTGTGTGGTCCAAGGGGAGGTAATTAGGAGCAAGGAGCTGAAACTGTGGAAAAGAAAATGTAAGTGGGGCAGCACAAAAACCTTTCTGACAGTGACGTCTATTAGCCGATGGCATCCTCTCCAAGGGGGAGTTGCGAGAGACCCATTGCTGGAGGTATTTAAGGGGCCCTTCTCAGGATCGGGGCCTTGCCAGAACCGTCTTGAGGCTAATTGCTTGGGCCCCGCCCCCTCTATGTTGGAAGGACCACACTTAACATAGATTCCTTCAGTGGAACTGTTCCACAGTGGGGTGATTTCTGCCAGCCAAGGGAAGGTGCTGTGTGTGCAATGTCTATAAATACATGCACACCCCACTCAGGTGTACCAGGCACCGTTCACTCCTCCAAGAGAAACTTTGAAAGCAAAACTATCATGGTTTACAAAATATTTTTGAGCAGGTCTTTGAGGCTGAGGTTGAGGTAGAATTACTGAACCGTCACGCTGAATTTTTAAACATGATGATGAGAAAGGTTTGGGCCTATCAAGTCGAAAGTATCACTCTCCCACCCCCTCTCCCGGAAGGTCTTAGTGTCTTGGGGGATTTGGGGGTCACCCAACTAATCAGGAAGTAGTTTCTCTTGAGTACTCATCATAATTCTTTTTATTGGTTCTCTTCACAAAACAGGGCAGTGTAATAGGCACCCTAGGGAGGAAAAATGAATTAGTCTGTGCCCTGATTGCCAGAACTTTGTAACCTCTTAAGTCCTTTCTCTCCTAGGCAGGCAGTTGTTTAGAATGCAAAGCTGCACTAAGTAAACAGCTTGAACTTGTAGTTGCTTTGGGCTCTAGGTCTCCCTTGATCTCCTAGCCTTTCAGTTCTTAGATCTGTTGACAGCTTTTCACAATATGGCTCATGTTCACTGGCTACATCTGATATTAGATGATCAGGAACTCATAGTTGGATAATTGCCATTGTGTGACCTCCCTGTCTTTATGCTTGTTTCGTCTCATGCATCCTTCCAGGTCCTTAGCCAGGTCCATTCTGGAAATCACCTCATCATGACATGCACTTTGCAAAACCTGTCAATGGCTCTCTATCGCTTCCAGGGCGGTTGCCGGTTGGAATGAACAACCTTTTCTACCTTTATAAATGGTTGGTTCTAGAAATACTGTGAGAGGGTCGGATCTATTTATTTCAGAAATTACCAGCTTTGGCATTAAAGACTGGATTTCCTTCTCATGATTTATGATTTTAAATAGCTAAAAATGGACATTGATAATCAAGTTATGACCTGAATCTGTTATCTTTTTAAGCTCATTTTCTTCTATAAGATAAGGGGCTTGTAGTAGAACAGTGCTTTTCAGCCCAGGAGCATGTCAGCATCATTTGGGAATTGTTATGAATTATGGAAACTTGGGTTAGAAGTTTTGAAAGTGGGGTCTGGTTGTCAGAATTTTTAGAAAGCTGCTCTGATTGCT